GGGGGGGCGGGGTGTGGGGGGGGGGGGGGGGTCCTGGCCTGGTGGCTTCCCGACTGCGGACAGAATTGCGGAAATGAAATCGTGGAGGGGTTGGATTTCCAGGGGCGCCCAGGTTTCTTTGGCCCTTCTTTCAGGGGTGCGTGAATCAGCAGGAATCAGGTCTATACCTGTCCACGGAAGTCTCCAAAGTTTAAAGGTACAAATGTAGATGCGCAGTTGGTTCCCAGAGTCTGCAGAGGCTAAGGAACTCTCTTCTCTGCCATCACATCTAATGCAATTCGTAAAGGAACATTGGATCTTACCCATTCTGTACTTTATTCTCCTATGCTGGCCACACCTCTAACAATACACTAAGTTTTGTAGCTTTCCTCTTAATCCAGTTCATTTTGATATTTATCCTTCTACACTGTTTCAACTATATCCCATTATCCTACCACTAGTTTATGAATCCTTGTTATATTTTATCTACCCTTCTGAATGTCCTAAAATCCTCTGTAAAGCAGTTGGCCATGGTTTTAAAGGTATTATATTATGTTGGCCATATAATTTCTAAAGTCTTAGGCATCAAGTGAAGATCTCTGTCAGGGACATATCCAGGTTAAGCATCACAATAGCCCAGAGGTTTTTAATAAGTCTTAAATAAAGCATTCCATTAATTATTTTAGTTTCTTTGTCCCAATGACATGATAATATGAATATAAAATATGATAAACCTAACACAACGGCTAGTCCTGCCTCTGCTGGTTCCACACCGCCGTCCTTGGCTTATTTTAAGACATTCGTCTTGCATCACTCCTACCACTCTCGCCAGGCTGGTCTCCGTAGTTTCTCCTCAGCTTCATCAAGCTCCAGTGAAATTCACCCCCCCACAGCTGCCCCACAGGTTCACTCAGGCAGCTGTTTCTACTCCGTGAAGTGTGCGTCTCCACAGCCTGCGCCTTCCCGCCCTCCACCCTCAGTAGTGACTTCACCTGTGCTGGAAAAGCGGAGCGGCGCGATGCGATAGCCAAGTGTTACAGCTCCGAGGCACAGCTGAGTGCTACAGCTCAGCATCTGCGGCTACCAAAATTTGAAGACACAACAACGTGAAGGTCACCGGAAGAGGTGAAGAAAATCCTTTAATTACGCCAGCAGGCTCAGTAAAGTTCCTACTCTGAAGTCTGAACACTTGACTGCAGACACGAGCCTCCTCTATATAGGAGGTAGGGTAGGCGCGCATGCTCACTGAAGAGGGGCGGGGCCGCCGGTTACAGAATGTTCCTGAAAGGCAGCGTGGGTGAGCATGCTCACAGAAGCACAGAGGCAGATCAACAGAACTTTCCAGAAAGGGGCGGATCTAACAGAACGTTCCTGAAATAGGAGGGGCTAATGAAAAATTCCTGAAAGGTCAGAACTTCAAAGGGTTACAAAACATTATTACATTTGTAGAACAAAATATTCTGTGGGGGAAAAAAAACATGGAGGCAAGGAGTAGGCCTGTCTTATTGTGCAGTATTTCTCTATGCTCTCAAGGAAGGAGACTGGGTCTCTGCTACACTCCGGCCTATATATATATATATGCTGGTTGGAATAATGATAATAGTAAAATTAATGTTAACCATTTTAACTAGCATACATGTACGATATATAGTGTTTACATTTATCTTGGGAAATACACAGTATCTTAGTTCTTCTTATTCCCCTTCCTACTCTCTGCATCTCTAGAGTCTCTTCTCCCAATGTTTTTTAGTACATATTTGTGATACACAATGATTACATTGCTCATATAGATTCATTTTGTGTATCTTTCCTCTCACTCCCCATGCTCCATCTCTTGGTCTCCCTTGCAATTTTCAAAAGATCTAGCTACCTGTTTCCTGTTATCTATTTTGCTCTTTAATTTATTTATACTTTGGGCTTCTCATAGAAGAAAAGTCATCTACCGATTGAAGCTTGAGTGTCTGATCTATTCCATGCATCACGATGGTCTCAAGGTGCATCTATTTTCCTACAAACGACTCAAGTGTATTCGTCATGGCGGAGTGTCCTTCCTCGTGTATGAAGGCCACATTTCCTTTATCCCACAGGCACTGGCCATGTAACCCTCCCACGAGATTCAAGGAGATTCATTGATCCAACCCTCAGGAGAACCCTGTGAAGTGATGAGTGTTACTGCTATTCCCATTTCAGAGTGAGAGAAACTGAAGTCTTTACTGCTTCACCAAAGTCAAGCAGCCTGTTAGCAGCTGACTTGGGATCTGAAAGCAGACCGGTTCTCGTGACCACACTCTTAACACTGTACAGCACTGCTGCCTGCCTTTTTGAGCCCTGTGAGACATTTCCCCTTCTAAATTCATCTTAGAAAAGCTGCAAGGGCTCCCTGCCACCAGCTACATCACATCTGAGAATTCTGACTTATCCTCTTACCTGCAACACATTGCTTCTCTGTACCATTATCTCTATCCACATTGCTTCTTTACACTGTCTTTATATTGAAAATTACAGTACTTTGAAAGAACAGATTGAAGAGAATATCAGAAAATGGAAAGATATCCCTTGCTCTTGGGTGGGAGAACGAACATAGTGAAAATGGCCATACTCCCAAAATTGTTATATAGATTTAATGCAAGTCCCATCAAAATACCATTAGCTACCTCACATAACAAGAGAAAACATTCCTAAAATTCATTTGGTACCAGAAGAGACCTAGAGTAGCAAAAACAGTTTTGGGCAACAAAGGCAAGGCGGAAGGCATCACAATCCCTGACTTGTAATTATTCTTCAGAGCTACTGCGATTTAAAAAAAAAAAAAAAAAGGCAATGTACTGGCAAAAAAACATATGAGAAGATCTATGGAACAAACTAGAAGAGATAGAAACAAAACCAAACACACTCATCCACCTTATGTTTGACAAGAAACTAAAAGCATTCACTAGAATAAAGACAGTCTGAAAAATCGTGGTGGAAAAACTAGCTTTTCCTCTCAGCATGCACTATACTAAAATCAAAATAGAACAAAGATCTAAATATTAAAAGCTAAGTATTAAACCTTCTGGAAAAAAGAATGAGAACTCTGTCACGAGCCGCGACGTCAGGATCCTGCCAGCAGGTCCTAAACCTGAAAGGACGAGGACAGAGAGACGGGAGGCACTTTTCTTCTCGTGGCACTACTGCAACTGCTTTATTACCGAACCTCTCCTTATATACTCTCCAGCTGCGCGGCTGCAAGAGAGTACCACCCACACATTCCGGAAGGAAACCGTTTAACCGTTACAGTTGCCAGGCAACAGATCAGACCACCAGTTGAACTAGCCCGTTGCTATGGGCGACGGCACGTCCACACTGCTCGGGCGAATCACAGGTCAATATGGCTGTGCTCATGTCATGCTCTTTTTACAATGCTCTCCATAGAACTCTTTGTTAATATTTAAAGGGTTTTATACTAAAAAAAGATATAATTTTTGTAGATGAATTGAGAGATTAGCAAGTGAAAATATGTTCTTTTAAGATTGTGATACATAGTGAATTTACCATTCTTATTCTCATTTGCTAATTTTATTTTTTCATAGAAATGTTTTTTGTATTTTCTTTATTAATATCTAATTGTATTGCATTAAAATTTTTTAAATTCCATGAGTGAAATATAAAAGAATGTGTGAGAAAATGGACATACCATTGTCTATGCAGATATTACAAAGATATTATTTTAATCTATCTGTAAATTTCATGTGATGTTTATCAGAATCTCTACAGCTAATTTGAGGGGAAAATGTGTCAAAATGATTCTAATGTATTTATGAGATAATAGACATTTCAGAATCACCTAAGAATTCTGAAAGAGAATGATAAGGACAAACTAGTCCTACTAAATATGAAGATTATCAGGCTTCATTACTTACTAGATTTTGGTACCCATAGCTCACAGATGATAGGGTTTCCTACTTCTTTCTGGCTCAACAGTATTCCTCTGTGTATACACCACGTTTTCTTTTTTGGGGGGTATTGGGGGTCAAACTCGGGTCCTTGTGCTTGTGAGGCAGGTGGTGGAACCACTGAGCTAAATCCCCAGCCCACCACGTTTTCTTTGTCCGTTCTGTTGCTGGGCACCCAGAAACATATGCTAGCTCTTGTAAATAATGGCAGTTACATAATGAACATGACTGTCTCTCTTGATACCTAATAAACATGGTATCTCTTTTGTATGTTGATGTCATTTCTTTTGGATAAAAGCCAAGGAGGGGTATAGCTGGATCATAGCATAGTTCTGCTTTTAGTTTTTTGAGAAACTTTCATACTCCTCTATTTGCTGACTATACTAATTTACATTTCAGCAAGAGTGTGTAGTTTGTTTCTCAGTATCCTCACCAACATTTGTTATTCATTTATTTTTTCATTTTTGGATAATAGCCATTTACCTATGGTGAGAAGGAAATCATTAGTTTCACATTTCTGTACTGGCTAAATATATTGATCAATTTTTCATATATTTATTTGTCGAGAGCCGGCAACGCAGAGCACTGTCCAGCAGTGTCTCAAACCTGAAAGAGCAGCGGTGTGGAGATGGGGCAGAGAGAAAGGAACGACGCCAAGACAAGAGTCTGATCAAGGCGACGTTTATTGCAGGCAGGCATCAGCCTTTTAAAGGAAAAGACCGAACTATTATGGGCTAGGATTACCATAGTAACCTCAACACCCGCTCCACGGGAACGAGGGTTCACACGGGAAAGAGAAATCAGGCTCAAGAAAAACAAATTAACAACACTTGCAACTAATAATCATGATTCCCACAATAGGTGGAGGAACTTAACAAAATGGAGTTACAACACCTGACTCCTACAGATAACGTCAGATCTTTAACAGGAAGCACCTGACTCCTACAGATCTTTGGCTGTCCGAGTTTCTCCCGTGCAGGGTCAAAAACAAGTTTAACACGTGCAGTCCTTAAAAAGGAACAAATGTTAACAAATGCTAATTAGGAACATCCTGACCACACATTGTGTCAATGCCTTGATTATAAAGAAAGAAGTTATCTTTCAAAAAGCCAGTGGGCCATGGCTGGCTTCCCACATTTATTGGTACTTGTTTTTTTAGAAGAGTCTAATCAAATCATTTGCCTTGTTTTGACTCAGTTGTTTTTTAAGTTTTTTTAGTTGTTTGCATATTCTGGATGTGAACCCTCTGTTAGGTGAATAGGTGGCAAAGATACTCTCAAATCCTCTAGGGTGGTTGACTCTTCACTCTGTTGATTATTCCCATTACTGTCCAGAACCTTTTTTATTCTATGAAATCCCATTTATCAACTTTTGTCTTTGTTTTCAATGCTATTAGAGTCCTAGCCAATAAATTGTTGCCTGTGCTATGTTAAAGTGTTTCCTATACATTTACTTCTAGTACCTTCAAAGTTTCATTCCTGTTCTTGACCTATTTTGAGGTTGAGACATAGGCCTCTAGTTTCAACAGGCTATATGTGGTTATCCCCTTAACCAGCACTATTAGTTGATGAGGCTGTGCTTTTTCCATGTATCTTCTCTGTATGTTTATTGAAAAATCATTCAGCTGAAGATGTGTGAGTTTATTTCTGGAATTCTTATTCCATTCTATTGGTCTGTATGTCTGTTTTTATGCCAATGCCATATTTTTACTACAGTGGATCTGCATTGTGCCTTGAAATTTGATTGTAACACTTCTAGCTTTGTTCTTTTTGTTCAAGATTGCTTTGCCCATTTGGAGTCTTGCTTTCAAACGAATGTTAGCATAAAGTTTTCTAGTTCTGTGAAGATATCACTAGTATTTTGATGGGAATTGCACCGAATCAGTAAGTTGCTTTGACTAGTATGGATATTTTAGCAATATTATTTCTTCCATTCCAGAAACATGGACTGTCTCAAAATTTCTAAGTGAATTCCATTACTTTTATTAGCATTTAAAAAGTTTTGTTGTGTGTGCCTTTCACTTCCTTGATTAAATGTATTCCTAGCCTTTTTTGGGGGAGAGCTATTGTGAATGGGGTTGTTTTTGCGATTTCTTTTTCACCAAATGTTTCATTGGTGCAGAAAAGTGGTACTGATTTCTGCATGTTAATTTTGTGTCCTGCTACGATACTGAATTTGCTCAACAGTTCTAACAGCAACTTGTGATATCTTTATAGGTTTTCCAATACATAGAATCATATCATCAGCAAGCAGGTAGAATTTACTTCTTCTCTTCCTCTTTGTATGCCTTTTATTCCTTTTTCCCTCCTTAATTATTCCAGCAAAACCTTTTTGTTGTTGTTGTTGTTCTTGTTTTATGGTACCGGAGATTGAACTCAGGTCCTTGCACTTGGGAGGCAGGCAGCAGAACCATTAATCTAAATCCCCG